AAGAACAAAGCAACTATGATACCGCTTGATCCAATTCTTCATATATCTTCCTGAGGTTGATTTAAATTTTTTTATGGCTCCACTTCTTTGCTCGAAGAGGATATTCAAGTTTGGGCAACAGAAAAAAATCTCACCGGGCGAATTCAGGTGAGTACGTTGCTTGGTCTAGCATTGTTTATTTTTTTCCCAAAATCTTTGACCATTATGAATCAGTTATATCCAGTTCAGGTAAGTACGTTGATTGCTCCATCATTGTTTAGTTTTTTTTCAAAAACTCAGATCATTATGATTCGTCAGATATTTTGTGTAAATTCGGATTTAAAAAAAATCTCACGTTACCAGTTCAGGTGAGTACATTGCTTGGTCCATCATTGCTTAGTTTTTCCCGAGAAACTCTGACAATTATGATGGTTGGGCAGTTTGTGTAAATTCAGATTTGAACATTTTAGTTCTACAAAAATATTGGAGCTACTTAAAAATGTACTCGAAGTGGTCATTTAAACTTCGGGAGCAGTGAAAAGATACACGAGATTAAGTCAGGCGATTAGGGGATCGTGTTAATTCATATTCAATTTACAGATATGTTTCATGCGCAAACAGTAAATTTATTTTATATTAACTTAATTTTTGTTTTATTTTATACAAACAATTGTAACACAAAATGCTTTCGATATGTTCCTGCTAAACGCTCGAGCACAAACACATTTAAACATTAAAATGTTCGAAGCTTCAAACTGCTCGCAAAATATTTGAATCCCTACTTTGTGCCATCGCAAAGCACTCCAAGGTATAATTGCAAAAATAGCCGATGAAAATACATACAGTAGGTAGCAGATCGAATTTGAATTTCTCCGGTTAATTATAGGTCTTCTTTAAGACGCCTCATTACTTATTAGTTATCTAATTGAGGGCCTAAGGCTGTCTTGATCTACATTATTTTTACGAGCACAGATATGAGCCTGTTTTCGCGCACTGTATGTGGTTCTGATGTCTACGTGTACTTTATCATAGATTGTTTCTACAATTTTTCGTAGTGGAAAATAGTGCTACCAACTTACAAGAAAAAAATTATAGCGGTATCTTTCATAAGTGTTTTTAAATTAAAAATTTTAAATACTTTTTATAAAGAATGTTTATACACATACATATACAAATTTTTAATTACACTTAAGTGTACTTTTTTTTAAAATTAATTAATTAAAAAAACGAATGACGATCATTAAAATAATAATAAGCAAATAAAAAGATAAATAAAAAGTCAAGCAACTACAGTAGTAATTGATTTATACCTTTATAGATACATAAATAAAAATATATGTATACGTATAAACCAATATATGTGTGGACAGATTTGTTTTTGTAAAAATAGATTACTGTTACAATCGTTATCAGCGTTTAATAAAAATATGGCATTGGTAATAAAGTAAATTCATTCAATAATACATTACATATGAAATAAATCCTACATATATATTTAATTTATTATTATTGTTTATTGTTATTCACAAAGACGAGTATGCAATTCAATATGTAAAAAAAGGCTCGTATAACATTTGAAACGTCAAAGTTGTATAACTTATAATTTGTTATAAAGAAATTATTAAAATATATTTATCTGTAGTTAGCATTCAGTTACTTGAAATCCCAGAGTTTTAAAAATTTTTAATTTAAATTGAATGACCTTAGGGGTTAACAAATCTATTAAAATCTCTCTTTTGCGAACCGATAATTTCTTCAGCGTTTATTGATTTTTATTGTTGGATTTATTGTATTCTAAATTAAATTTTTTTAATTAAATTTAAACAGTGGCATTAGTAATGGAAGACCAGAAGAGCAAGTAGGTGAGAAAAGTTTTGCAGATACAGGTGACAGGAGAAGAGTGCCAAATAGGTCATCAAAAACCTAGAAAAATATCATTAAAAACGGTGAACGGTAAATAAAAAAACATTATAGGATTGAGTGGCCTGGAAATACCGCCCAAGGAGAACCGACGTGAACGGGATTAAGTGTTAAAAATAAAAAAAGGCATGGATTTATTTCTTTAATGTAAGCGTTTTGTAAAATCCAATTGATAAAAATCACAAATCAAAGTAGATTAATTCAACAAAGATTTGTGATTTAATTGTATGGATTTAGCCATTATCTTTTTTATTAAATTTATTAATTTTATTACCTTCAATATTATTGCTATCGATAGACTATATTTCTCCTATTGTTTTTTTTGTTTTTTTATAATAAATTTACTAACATGAGCTAACTTGATAAGCAAATCCACTTTATAGGTCAAAGCCTTATATGAAGTAAAAATTCTAACCGAGTTTATCTTATCAAAGAGGGTGGAAAACAATGACAAAAGCCTTTGTTTAGATTATAAATTATTATTCATATTCTTTATTACTTTCTTTTTGTAAGAAATGATTTGAATTTTTTTAACAAACTTTATTATTTACTAATTATAGTTAATTAATATAATTGGATTGCTCATTTTAGTTTCTATGTGATATTTTTATATGAACTTTGGATGAACATATAGTCAATGTTAATTACGATGTTGAAATTGTATTCTGTAAAATGTGTTTCAATTTAACAATTCATAATTATCAATTATCTAATTATAGTATATTTGAGATGATAAAGTATCTGTTTTAATAATAGAAATTATTGTGCAAAATTTGATTTAGGTGAAGAAGAGACTACAGAATATAGACTACAAATAAAGTTCGTAACAAAAAATTTCTTTAACAAAACAAATACATACGCAAGCAGATAAACATATATTCCTCAAAATGTTTAAAATACGTTTCTGAAAATCATATTACCAATATTTTAAATATTGGTGATAATGTGGCAAAACCATCATCTTTTTAAAATAGATGATGAGGCAAACTGATAACATACGATCGATTTAATTCGTCGGACTAAAGAAGAATATATTTGTATATGCATATTTTAAAAGTACTACAGTGTGCAAGATGTCTTCCTCACGACACTATAAACTCATTTCAAAGTTATATATTGTTTACTAAATTGCACTATAAAAGTACACATATTGTCATGTGCTTTACAAAAAAAAATATGTCTCAAATCTATCCTTAATATTTTTAGTTACTTTAGGAAATATTGAGTACAGTTCCTCCATTCTCAAATATACTTGCTAGTTGACCATTACAAACGTCAGTCATTTTTGTATGCGTCAAGTATCTTTCCCAACCAGCTAGTGCAGTGGTTGCTATCGCCAGTTGATAGTACCGAATGTCTTTATATCGTTGCGCACCATTCTCATATAATGAATATAGAAAATATATTATTGAAATAAAGTTAGTTGATAGGTTATCCCATAAAATAGAAGAGGGACTCATCGTTTATATTGACGGCTCAAAGGTAGATGATAGGCTAGTTACTGTCTTAGTAACGTAATATATTTAAATATTTTAGGTTTCATCTTTTGTTGCTATTAGAGAAAATCATAACTTGTTTTGAAATAATGAGTATCTGAATAGGGGTTTTTGAGTTCAGTTCAAATTACATCTAGGGGTGCTTTTGGCTAAAACATATTTTATAAAACATATATAAACTGTTGATCAAGAAAAGAATTCAATATTTCTCTTCTTTAAGTATTAATTCTCAAGCTGTAGCTCTTTTGAAAAAGGTTTCTGCTGTAATTTTTTTTTTTCAAAAAATTTTATATAAGAAAACACAAGCCAGCTTACTTTGATATTGGAATTGTAACCACCGCGTTACAGGTAACAGCATCAATTTAGATACAACTTCAATTTAAAAAAGTATTGAAAAAGTTTGATTTGGAAGTAAAAAGACTTCATGGAAATCTATTTTTTGAGTTGGATTTGGCACCTTATCATATCTGTTGTTCTGCCGTCACCCTATCGTGCTTATCCCGCCCATCCCTAAGACCACTACCGTCCATAAGCATCATCTCTACCACCAGCATCATCTCTACCACCTTATGTTTTAAAAGAGTTTCAAAATGGGCTTAGGTTTTATTAGTTTTAAGTAACAAAACAATAGATCCAAACAGGATCATGATCATGAGAAATGTTCCAAAAAGGATCATGATAATAATCTGACGTAACCTAACTTGTGGTCACTATTTTCTACGAATGTGCAGAAAGAATATAGAAAAAAGTAAGGTAATAATTTATTTAAACGGCACAAGAGGTTTATGTTGAAATAGTTCTCATTACTCATTTTCTCATTTCGCAGTGAAATGTCACGCTAAGAAAAATTTTCCATATTATTTCCTTTTTTTATTTTTTGATAATTAAAATGTACAAACCAAGCACATTTGACAATTTCCCACGGAAAAACTAATTTTATTATTTTCTATTAAAAAAATACCACGAGTAGTTGAACTAGTAAAACACTCACAAACTTGTTATAAAATTTTCAAATTATTATACAATATTATAAATTTAGAACAATAATTAAACATGATTATGAGTTTCAATAATTTGTCCGCATATGTTCATAAAAAATTAATATTTATATTTTATGCTTTGCTTTAAATTAAAAAGTTCACTTATAAGGCACAGACGAAATAAAAAAACAAAAACAAAAACAAATATACAGCAACGACACAAAGTACAAACTGACACGGGTAACAAAGCTTCTTAGATAAGAAGCTAATATGAATTGTCACTTGGTCCCCACACCCCTTTTCCAAAAAGTGGAAAACGATTTGTCAGCAATAGAAATTCAGTAAATTAAAAGGAAAAAACACATTTCCGCATATAACCATTGAATGACAAAAAGGGTTACATTATAATGTTAAATTCATTTCAAAATACCGCATAAGTAATAAAACAAATAATTTGTTTACTTTCGTGAATTTACAAAATACTGAAATGCGAAAAAACTATTTGCTTAAAACTCTGCCATACGCAACAGAACTTGTGATAAGTAAACACTGATTGCAACAACAAGTATGGGAGCAAACATAATAAAACAAAAACAAAAATAGCGAATGATTTGAAAGAACTTACCTTTTCGTTGAGGTATATTAGAAATTTTTCGAACTGTTGATTAGTTCTAATTATATCCAAATAATCCATTTTTAGATTTCAATTACTAAAAAAATCTGTTTGTTTGATTTAATTTTTAATATGCACATAAAGAATTATTTTTTTTATTTGAACACGGAAGCGTATATCAGCGCAAACGTCGACGCTGGCAGAGCGCGATATAAAACCAAATAACTAAAAAATTTGTTCTAACTTCATATAAAGTATGTGCGTTATGCACATAATTTAATTAGTATTTTATATGAAAAGCGCACTTATTGCATGAAATTTAAACAATTTATATTATACAAAGTTTAAAAGAATGCAAATAACTTTTACTTTTTTTCGTCGTTAATTATTTTTAGTTTTTGTTGTGCGTTCGCAGCCAATATGAAAACGTTTAAGAATTCAACATTTATGTAATTACTCATTTTGCTTATATGAATAACATTAGAGCAAAATTTAGTTCACTTTATTTATTAACAAGTATTGTTTATTTAACAATATTATTTTCACTTTGCAAAGTGTTTTAAACCGATATTCAATCTGCTGCTCGCGACTAAACATTTAACAATGAACTCTAAGAATTTTTCAACCCCACGGTTGCAAAGCAGCACTCACAACCGAGTCTCGAACAACATATGACAGCTGTGAGAAAATGCTCGGTCTCTTTGCATTGCCGCTGAACCATATGTTTTTGTTATTGTTTATTTCTTTACGTCGGGCTTCATTGAATGTTTGGTTATATTTGCTATTTAGTTTGCATAAATTAATAGTTTATTTTAACTTAAATAAACTTTTTTTCTACATAATATTGAATTGTTCAAATTAAACACATTAAGTTGTATATCACAATATTCCCTATTTATTTTACTTTTAAATTTTGACGCTGCATTTGATTTCAATAGTTGCATTATTTTTCATTATGTTATGCTTTAATAACACACAAAATTTGGATATATATTAAACAGTTTGTAATTAACTGCATTCAGTTAAAACGGCAATACACCATTTGTAAGTTTTATTTAATAAAGTTGCTTGAGCACAATTAAATAAACAAATTGATTTACTTCATTTGCTTTTTGCTTTGCCTTTCGTAAAACAATTGTTGATGTTTAATTCGCATAAGGCGCTTCAGAAAACTAAAATTATTTATTGTATTTACACACAAAGATTTTCTAATTAGGATTTTTTTCCTAATTGAGTCAACTAAATGATATACTCATAAGTAATCAATTGAAAGTTTATATTTTAAAATAATTTAAAATTTTCTGATAGGATATATAAAAGATTAAACAAAATAACTAAACGGAAAATTGAAATATATCAGTATAAATAAATACGTTTTAACTATACATTTTTTAAATATTATGTTATGTTATGTTATTATGTTATGTTATATGAGCTGAAGCATTATGTGAGTATCATGCATCACCTTACGTATTAGCTAATTGTTGCGGTTTTATATTGTCACTATATGAAAAAACTCGTTTACATTTAAATCATACAATTATTGTTATAGTCAAAACATAATACATACTTCACTAATTACAATTATATTTAGATTATTGTACTTAACACAACACATATGCAGCGTTATATGTTATTTTTTATTAAAATTTTATGAAAAAATTTGATAAAAAGGGTTCAATACTTTTAAGTGTGAACATAGTACTAACACTAGGAGTTATATTTGCACTTAGCATTTAACGTAATTCATAAGAAAAGTCAGCAGACATATTTTGTTTGTGTTAGACATAAGCATTTTCGATTTTCAAATCGATAAAACTACAGTAATATGATTAAATCCAAATATGTCATTAGTTTATGGTTTTATAGCCTTTTTTGTAGATTATACGTTAAAAGTTTTTTACTTTATTTTTAATCACAAAAAAAAAACAGTATTAATTAAACTTAGAATATTATTGAACTTAGTATTAATAATAAAATATTATAATTGTGACACAAAAGGATCTAATACATAATTGATAAGATATTAAGTATAAGTTGACAGATGTTTGCTTTTAAACTCTGAAGAGCTTAAGGAACATGAAATGATTTAGTACATAACTGGCCATAGCTTGGTCATAATTTCAAGGATTTTCATTTTTATAATGTTAAGTGGTTAGGATAGCCTACGATATTTAAGAACTTTGAAAAAAAAATTCATTGAATACAAATCGCTTGTTCTTGGTGACCAACTCATATCAATAGAATGTAAAATATGACGTTCATATGATGATTTATGGCACAAATCAGGATATGTAGTGTTGCTTCAAGTACTGGTGCTAATAATACACATTTCTTTGGTTCGTATCTTTAAATTTGCGTTAAAAAAATGTACATCTATGGTATGTGGCTGTAGAGATCAAATATGAAGTATTGGTATGTTGAGGCTAGTTAAATCAGTGCACTTGAGCACTTTTACACTCTATTGACTCTAAGTTTTATTCCTCTACGCCTTGACTGAATTATTGTTTATCACTTTATCAGACTAAGCAATAATTGACCTCAGGTCTGCATACCTCCCTGAGGAGCCAGTAACCATTCTGAGATTCGATAACGCGGTGTTCGTAAGCCTGTCAGTTTTCGTAAATAATTTCAGAGCTCTATCCTTTATATATTTTTTGATCGGATCAATCTTGATGTCATTCGTTCTAATGTATTGTGTCACACTGTAATTTAAAAAAAAAAAAAAACACGGACTTATAACAGCTTTAACCCAAACGTCATACTCACTAACCATTTTTGTAGTAAGTTCTTACAACAACCGTTCCGCGATTGCTAAACAATGATGTTTTGCATGATAGTTCTATATGACGTATGTCAGTTAAAAAGGGGTGATAAATCTGTACCTCAAAATGGATAAAAATTTGTTTAAAAAGAAAAGGAAATATGTAGATAATTTGTACTGCATTCAGTATTGATTTCTATTTATTATTAATTGAAAAATATTGTTGAAATCATAATAAAAAATTTCTCTTAAAAAGATTGAAATTAAAAAAAAAAAAACAGAATTAAAAACTGTACTAATTACATACGAAATATTTGACTAAAATTCAAAAAGAAAATTTTACCGCTTTTCGCGCCAGCATAATTTTAAAAGAAAATAAAAATATCTTAAAAATTGCAATAAAATTCATTTAAAAATTAGTTGGGCAAAAACCGCAAAACAAATTTAACAAAAATTTAACTTAAATCTCATTGCAGAAGGAAATATTTATGAACTATTCAAAAAGCGCATGCGAAACTGCATTGTGCGCATAAAACAACACGCTCTAAATATTCTCACAATGGGAAAAATATAAAAATAAGAAAAAAAAATAATAATATAAGAAAATATTTATTTAAAACAGAAGCAAGACGAAGTATAAAATATGAATATTGTATAAAAATCTCGTCCCATATGAAGAAGATCTTTCGTGATTTTTCAAATTAATTCACAAAAGGCAAAGGCGGTAAATCAAAACGCAATGAGAGTGTAAAAATGCATATATATTCCAAGTAAATGGGCGCCATTTTGTTTTTTTTACTGTTTTGGTTTAATTTTATTTTTATTTTTTAATTTTGATTTGATTGCACTTTCGAATAAATTAAATTTAATTTCAATTTCACCAGTATAACTATTTTTTTTTTATTTATGTTTACTTCTTTTTTTTTCGTATTAATGTGGCGAATTAAAAAATATTTTACCGTTAAGTGCTAATTAAAAGCATGCAACTTTATTTTTACGGTTTTTAGGTTTTGTAAAGCAAATATTGCAATTATTTAAACCAATATAAGCTTTTCCATTTAGAATGCTTAAAACTATTTATAAAAGTTTGCAGATGATTGGCAATGCGGAAATAAGATGGTCTAATGAACTATAAAAAATATATCCACAAACCATTTATCTACAGTTACTACCAGTTTTAAAAGGGCAGAATATAATACAGTAAACGGTATCATAATGGACCAAGCATAGCTTGGAAACCCAACCTAATCTAATCTAACCTAATCTAACTTAACCCAATCTAACCTAACCCAATCTAACCTAACCTAACCTAACCTAACCTAACCTAACCTAACCTAACCTAACCTAACCTAACCTAACCTAACCTAACCTAACCTAACCTAACCTAACCTAACCTAACCTAACCTAACCTAACCTAACCTAACCTAACCTAACCTAACCTAACCTAACCTAACCTAACCTAACCTAACCTAACTTGAACTAACTAAATCCAACTTCACCCATTCTAAGTGTCTTATTCGTAATTTTGTTGGGCTACCAAACCTTTAGAATTGTCCATGGGATGTAGTTTATTGATATCTTACAGCGTTGGTAATAAGTTAGATCTGCAGTCACTGTATGCAATCTTGCATTTAATGCAATCTTATGTTGAGATTTTTACGATTTTTACTCTTTCTTAGCTGGGGGTTTCTACAGAGTCCCTCCCTTCTCTTTAACTAATTTATGTATTCCTTACAAGCTTTGCTGATTATGCGATGACTGATGTTAGATCTGTGACTGCTAGTGACTGCTCTGAGATATATAGTGCTATGTAGGGCAGCCTGTCAGTGCTATCGTATAATATAATTTGCAGCATTTAAATATGGTATGAATGGTTACTTTTTCTTTTATTCTCATCCTTGATATTATTCTGTTAGCTAAAAGTGTAGAGCCGTGTCTGGGTAGATCAGATTTAAAACTTTCTATGTTATCAGTCTGGTCAGAAAACTTATTTCAGATAATCGTTGTTTGTTTTCTTTATCGTTTGGATATCAATAAAAATATATGGATATGTGTTGTCATATTAGTCCTTACATGTTTTCAATTTCAGCTTGGATAATAATAGAATAGTTTGATAGTTTCAAGCTAATTGACTTAGTAAGAGTATCCGAAAATATACTGCTGAACATTTATTTCTTAGTAATACTATATTTATATACTACTGTAATACTACTGTAATATGCCGAATGAATTTTAATGACCTATTGTTGTGTCACAAAAGAAATCTGTAGTCCTATAGTAGTAGTAGTAGTTCTTGTGACTCGTGAAGGCAAATAATATTTATATAATGTTTCTTTTTAGTTTTTTGACATTTTGTTAAGAATCGAAAACATCATATTGTGTCACATATGAAAAATATATCTAATATAAGAATGTTTTCCCTTTTTTTTAAAAATATATTTACACAAGAATCATATAAGAATCACCACAAAAGTCTTAATACCCTGGCATTCCAAACAGAAATGTCATATTTGATTTATCCAAGACAATGAAATAAACTATTGCGACAGTCAGGAATCTGTTTATAA